AGTTGTCCTCCGTACGGTGAATATGAAGCGATGGTTAGCTTTTAGCATAAAGACTATACAGCTGGGAAACAGCTCCTGGCTCCGTCAGAAGGTAACAAATTCCACCCACCAGCACCTCTACAGCTCACTGACTTACACTTTATATATATGTGTTTGATACTTACAAGAACTTACTATTCCTGGCCTAGCGCAGTGACTTTCAGGAGTACGGCACATCATTTCTACACTTTTGGATTTTGTAGGGATTAAACAAACGAGATATAAAGTTTTAGTTAGTGCGCTGTAGAAGTTGTTGTTTTTTACTTTCTGACAAAGCCAGCTAGTTTCCATCTTTTTCCAGCCTTTATCCAAAGCAAACTGACTGGCTGCTAGCTGTAGTCTAAATAATGGTATTGATCTTTGCAAGAAAGTAAATAAATACATTATATGCACATTTTCTCATGAGTCTTTTAATTGAATTCACCACTGTTTCAAGGACATTTTACTATTATATATTCCCACTACTGTTTCTTTCATATTTTGTTACAATGTATTATTGTAGGATTTCTATATTTACTTTATTTCATTAACATTTACCTGAAAAAGTATCCAAGTGGGTATCTGCTTGAAAAAAAAAAGCTCTGAAAAAGTAATTAGATGTATTGAACATTGACCTTTAAGTGATGGTCATGCTTCACACACACACACACACACACACACACACTCACACACACATATACAGATATAATAAACCCTTCCAGTTGTAACAGGTTGCAGGTTGCTCTCTTTGTGGTCATGAAAAAAACAAGGTTACTCTCCACATCTTGGGCATGCCAACTCCACAGGCGACCATGCAAGCAAGGTTATTAAATGGACCATCTGTCACTGCACACACACACACACACCACACTCCACACTCATGTGTGCCTTATTATGCATAAACACGCATGTGTTTGAAGACTTGTGCGAGTTCATGAAAGATAAAGTACACACACACAGAAATCAGTGCACCCAGACCGACAAGGTTGGAGGTGTTCATTTGGGTCTTTAGGCTTCAATAGATTTTAAATTGTATCTATTTTTTCCTCCTGCATTGCAGAAAGACATGTGGACATTATGCTACAAACGATGCAAGGTTTTAGGCCAAGTATGGTGTTGCCCTTCAATCAGTGTGCGCGCATACACACACACACACACACACACACACACACACACACAGACGTGCTATAGTAGGCTACAATATGTAATACCAATCATTTTTATTTTTTTGTGACAATTACAAAATTTAAATCCTTGTGGCTGGATTAATTTAAGAGTTAAAATGAACCATCACCCTGTCTCCCTTTCCTCATCAGCTACAAGACAAACAAACGTGACAGATAACCATGACAAAATAAGATGATTTTGTGCTCTTTAAATCTTGATATTAAATCTAACCATGGCATTTAAATCTGCATGTTAATTTGGCAATGCATATACAAGACACAATATCATGTTTTCTAATACAATTCTGATTCCCCCCCACCTCACTTTACCCTTTATTAAGTTAACTGTTTATTTAATGGTAGCATGGATAGCATTTCTAGATGAGTGGTGGAGCCCAAGTGGGAAAAGTAAGAGTAAGAGCTGTCTGGATGCTGCTTGGAGGCTGGCAGCCTTGAATCTTGTTAGCAGCTAGCTCTTCACCTGTGATATTGGTGGTGGATTGTTTGTGCAGATTGTTTGTTTCATGCTGTTTTCCACTTCTATATGCCTTGTGATTTATGCATTGTTATTGTCTTGAAGAGGACAGACAAGCTGTTCAAATGATCTAATCTGACTTTCATCAGTCCTGATCCAAACCATTCCAATCAACTATGAACACCTTTGCAATCAAAATTAATTTATGTTTATTAATCTAATGTTTGCATCTTACAGGTCTGTGCAGATTGCATGTTCCTTGTCACTCACCAGGTTAATCCTAGAGCCAAGTGAGAGCACAGAACAAGAGAAGATGCAATAAATGTTTGTATGCATGTCATGTTACCTCGATGTCACAGGAGTACAAATCCTGAGCCAGTCAGAGATCTTAGCCAATTCGTTCTCAAGCTTTTTGAAGAAGTTGTTGAATTAACTGAACTTTTTCTCGTCAAGCAGAACATCTTGGACTGGATGTTGAGGGAAATTTGGTTCTGCTTACATTGTTCCTTTATTTTCTTCCAGGAGTTGTTAAACCCCTGGACCACACTCCATGACTGCTGCATCCACTTTGCAAATCTTCAGTGCTTTTCCAATTGAAAAGTATGCCAAAAGCTGCTGATTTTGGGGGAAAGACTTTCAACACAACTTTGGAGGTGGTGGTAAGTGGAGTTTTACATGTTGGTATGTTGAAATAAACTGTGTGGCTGTACAGTGATGCTAGTAGAGTAGTTCAAAACACATGAATTATGATACATATCAAGGGTATTTTCTCCTTCTCGGGGCTTTGAAACAGCTGTTCTCATAAATGCTCTGAATCTTAACTTACCGACCCTGAAAGACATCACATCCACAGCAAAGACCTTGATGACTTCATCCTGACATGCACTAATCTCATCTGCCTTTCTTTTTCTCTCCAGAAACTCAAGTATGCCTCGCCATGCTGAACCACTTGCTTTCGCTTGACCTTAAGTCTCTTGTGTCTTCAACTCTGCCGGCCAACAAGAAGAAAAGAAGCGGTTAGTGACAACAGTACAGCATAGTCAGCTCAAACATTAGCAGTAAATGGCTTTCCACAAGCTATCAGAAATTGTCTGGCTAATTAAATGCTATCATGTCTGTGGTTATCGACTCATTCTGTCGACCGAGCCTTTTCCAATCTGGTTGTGAATGTGTTTATACTGTTGCTGACGAACACATTTGTCTCAATTTCAACCACTGCAGATGTAAATACAGCGGAATTATGAAGCCATTTTTCTTTTGTAGCTTATCGGCCTATCATACGCACTCTTAACCTAACCATGACTCACTGTTACACTCCATTTACATATCACAGTTATGTATTGCATTATCCCTACCACACTCATGTATACACACACACACACACACACACACACTGCTTGTCTACGTTGTTAGCTGTGGCCCCTTGTGAGTTGTGCAACTTTATGTATTTTGACTGTGGGAGAGATATCGTCCGTCTCACAGCTGCTCTGTTCCACACTTACACAACACAACAGCTGTCTCTTCACTCTTCCTGCCCTCTTTCTCTCATTATTTTCTTTAACCTCTTCTGTGATCCAATCCCATTCTCTTTCACATTTCAGTACATTCCAGCACCCTTTAAAATGTCAATAAGCAAACAATGCTTGTTTGCTAATGAATTGTATGAATTTGATCAAAAGTCATTGCCACTTTGTCCTACGAGTTATGAAATCCTTTCGATGCTCCTTCAATGTCTTTGCACGATGTGTAAGATGAGGACATGTTACACCTGATCACCTCATGTCTTGTTCTACGTCTCCTTTTTATCCATAACCTATTGATTTTCATCCCTATAAATAATATGCTGTTAAACCTGATACTGTCATTTCTGTCTTCTTCTCTCTTTTCTGTCCATTTTTTTTCTCCTCAACCCCATTCTCGTTCTTTTAGACTTTGTCCTCGACTCTCCTTACTCTTCTATCATTCCTCCTCTCATTCTTTTCATCTTTCTTGCCAAGCCTTTTCTCTTCTTCTCTTGAGTCCTTTAAATAACCTTCCTAAAAGCTCTCTTATGGGTTTATGTGCCTCTTTGGAATAAAACAGAACAGTGTAATGATTAGAAGCTGCGGTTTATGGGAGCATTCGTGTGCGTGTGTTGCGTCTTCTATCAGCAGGGGGCACTGCTGCTTCTTAAATAGACTTGTGCGCCGATGATAGCAATATTTCACAGGAGGCAGGTTTCCTAATACAGTAATTTTAGTGCATAAAATTGTTACTGCAGGTCGCATTGTTAATTGAGGACATGTACCGGTCAGGATACCCCATGATGTATTAAGATCTGGGCAGACAATGTGGTGAGAGACTTCAAGACTGTAAAATTCAATTAAAATAGTTTGAGAAGGGATTTTCATCACCTTGGCTCACGTAGGGCTTCAGAGAAGCAGGTGGACTATAAAGTGAAAATTGCATATGTTTTAATTGCACTTTATCTGCATTTGATGTAGGTTAATTTAGCTGTAATGATTGTCAATATACAGCCATTGATGCAGTCAGCAGAATAAGTGGCATTTTGATGCATCCACAAGGTCTAATAAGTTACTTTTAGTTGCCCTTGTGCACATTGGAGATCATGATACTGTGAGGTTAGTGGGAAGGCATCATCCACATGCAATAGCAGAGATACTAGCCTTATGTTAGTCTTTTAGTTAATTTGCAGAATAAGCAAGCAAGATGACCCAAAATGAAAACCATTCCTAAACTTTTATCCCCCCCCCCCCGCTGGTAGCATGTTTCCCCTTTTATTCTGAGTAATGCATACATTTGTGTTGAAATTATTTTCAATAAAAAATGAAATACTACCCTTATATCACTAAACCAAACAGACTTCGGCTGCACCCTGTGGAGTCTGAAGCCCACCTTAAACATATCTTGCTCCTGTGGGTGTATTCATTTGTAAAATGTGTAGAACTAATAATGTAGTTGTTATGTACTTCGAATGTCAGCCAACAATATGCTGCAAACATATAAAAGATTACAATTAATTATACTCGTCATTTTTTTGACTCCCTGCCTCTAATTGTTACATCTTGCCAACCAATAATTTATCAAAGGCCTAGTTATAAACCCATATAATCGACGTATTTACCACTTTGTTGGATCAAATGTTCATGTGCATTTTCAAAAGGGAGATGGATCTGACTAAAGATTAAAATTGCACCCAATGACAGGCAGGAAAGGGAAACGGGAGAAAGATGAAGCGAGAGACGTGTGTGGGTTAAAATAATCCGTCGCTCAAAATGTAGTTCAGATTTCCGATAGTCATGAAAGCACCGCTTTTCCAGCGTCGCCTGGTTTCCCAGAAGCCTCCTCACCAGGAAGTGGTATGCTGGAGAGCTCTGGTTATGTTTTGACAATGATGGAGGAAGAAGAATTGGAGTTTGCTGAGGATTTGGAGGCTATATTGCATCTAACCCCAGAGGTGCAACAAGCCATTGAACAGGTAGCCGTTTGACCTCGTTACCTTTGCGGGTTTTTAAACACTGTTCACCGGGAGTTGCTATCAGACCATCTGTGTTATCAGGCTAGCTGGATGTGACACTAACGTTACTGTGTTATGGCCGCTAACGACAGCTTTAAAATATCGATTATACTATATATATACTATATAAACATCGTTTAGCTTAAGAAACGTTTGTCGGGTAGTTTAACTACATATTAGGGTGACGTCAACGTTAGCTGGAAATAAAAAATGCGTTACAAAGCTGAATGTACCTGTTACTGTCACTTGTATGAGGCTTTCATAGTGAATGTTAGGAAAACATTAACATCTGTAGTTATTTATACATGACTCATTTAACGTTAACAACGTATAGCTATATGTACAGGTTGTCTGTTATGTAATGACCGTTGAATAACGACGACGTTAGCCAGTAGGAGTCATTAAGTCATCCCAATGAATACACCATTAAATATTCAGTGTAATTGTGTCTGTCACTCTCTGACTAACTGTTTTTTTGTCCCTTGTGAACAAGGTGTTTCCCAGCCAGGACCCGCTGGACAGAGCAGACTTCAATGCTGTAGAATACATCAACACACTGTTCCCCACCGAGCAGGTACACTGAAGTGACACAGAAATATCTGCAGCCAGACTCACCCTGGTGTCACGCAAACTGATCCATTTTAGTGTGAAACCTAAAATAATGTGTTTTTTTTAAATTGTATATATGGTTTATAATATACTTAATACATATACATGTCGGTGTGTATACTCTATCACCATGAGAGGTCACTGTAGTTTGTGCTTATAAATAATAAAAGGGCTCCTAGTAGTCTGCATGCCTTTTTACCTAATTTGATTGTGTGTGTGGTTATTCAACAGGTGAGGAGTTACACATGTAGATATAATAGAACATCTTTTTTATAATTTAAAGCAAAGTAATCAGCTTGTTTAAGCACAAATGCATTAAACGCTACAAAGTATGTATTTCTGTACAGATGTGTTTTGTTTTGTGTAAAATATAGGGTCCACAGCACAACATATTAAAGAGCAGGATCATATAATAAAGTGTATTACTGATTAGAAAGGTGTTTGGTTGTTTATTCATCCATTCTCCTCTGTTTGTAAGGTTGCTTCATGTTTCCCTGATTTCTTGTCGGTGTGTCTCCCCTCAGTCTTTGGCTAACATTGATGACGTGGTAAACAAGATCCGACTGAAGATCCGGTGAGTCGATGTCAACGACTTGATAACGCATTTCTTACTTTTGTCTGTACTTTACCCTCAGTCTGACTTTTGTCATCTTGTGTAACATACGCTAGGCGCCTGGATGACAACATCAGAACAGTTGTGAGAGGCCAGACCAATGTGGGCCAGGATGGCAGACAGGTGAGTCGAGCTGAAAGTCATCTGGGGACCTATGGTCATACAAACTTCATCAACAAAACTACTTTTTCTGCAATGACGATCACCTTTCAGACAGAAATATCACATTTCTTTTATTTTAGATACATTTTTCATTAGGTGTCGTACTTACAGAAGTTCTTGAATTATATTATTTTGTTATGATGATCACTATAAACAGATTCTGCATTCATATGCAGATTCTGTAGGCCACGGGACAGGATTTTGACATCGGAAAAGTTCTGGTTTCCACTTGGAGACCAAGTAGTAGTGACCAATGACACGTGAGCAGGGTTTGGTTGGATGCAGGTAAACAGACCGTGTGGAAAGTAAATGAAGTGGAATTGGCTAAAATGCAATCTCTGAACCCACCGGCTATTGTGTGACGATGTAAACACTGAGCAGCACACAGAAATGCTGGCTGTACCTGACCCCAAAACATATAGCCCCTTGCCCCCAGAGGCTTATCTGTTATGAGTTATTCACAAAGGCTGATCGATATTTGTGTTGGTCTTAGTTTGTAAACAGTATTGTTACTCACACATTATTGTAGAAACATGTCGACTTTGCATGTCCTGATGGGGGATAATGGGGGAGATTTCCAACTACTTTTGCATATTTTACTTACAAACCACCAGACCTGTTCATCACTTGTGGTGCTCAAAACAGTATCCTTAGAATAGTGCCACTGGTTGCTCCCAACTCAGAGTCAACCCGCTGGTCTGCTCATTCCGCTCTCCACATTGCTTCCATGGAAAAGGACAAGATGACTCAGAACCATTCCAACTGCTCAAACTGCCCCTCTCCACGGAAATCACGTCTGGGAACTATATTCTTGTATGTAAATACTTAAACTTCTTTTAAACCCAGGCTTTTGAGTCTTTGCCTTTTCTTGTGGAAGGATGACGGAAAAAAAAAACTGCCCTCGCTGATTCAATCCAAGTCCTCACTCTATCAAGGAGTGGTGGCTTTAAGGGAATGTGACACCTGACGGGTGAGTCGTGCACGTTGTGACCAGTTGACATGATTAGGTGTGCGTTGTCGTCAGAGTGTCTGGCCTGGTGGCCCCGTCTTTCCCAGTTAGCTACCGTTTGGTAGCGGAAACGCTCCAAATCCCCTCCAGACCAATAACATTATACAGTCGCACACAATCATTTTAGTTTGTTTTTCCAACCCCACAGTGCCATTCCAACATTTCCAGAGGGAAAATCCTTTCTGCAGACGGAAAGACGGGAGAGGTGTACATTTCAAGATGGCGATTGAAACATAAAGACTGCAGTAGAATAAAAGCAAAAGATCAGCAATTTAGTAATTTCTGCTGTTGACTGAACTCACTCACTGAGCTAAAAGCAATCCCACGGTTGAAATCCTAGACGGCAACATTTATGCAGGAG